GAGTTACCTCTATGATTATAGTGCGTCAGCATGAGCGGTGACTGGAGGATTTCCTTGAAACGATAAAATGAACACTGGCAAGCGTCGGACCACTGGTAGTTGGAACCCTCCTTTAGCAGCTCATTTAGCAGCGGTTGACGTGGTGTACGCATTTCCCGACTGTATTTTCCGTAATAGTTTATCGCACCTAAGTACGAACGAAGCGAAGGAACATCGTGAGGAGGAAGCAATGCCCTCCGTATCCTGAAGCTGGCCCAAGTATTTCACCTGGCGTATGAAGAATCGGCATTTTTCGTATTCTACCGTGAATCCATACTCTTGAAGGCGCTATAGAACACGCTACAGATTCTGTTTGTGTTCCTCGGCGTTGCGGCCACTGTCAAGGATGTCGTCGAGATACGGAGATGTACACGGGAGTCCACCTAGCATGGCATCCATGATCCATGATCTGCTGGAAAGCGCCGGGTGTACACTTGACACCAGCCATGGTAAAAACACTGAACCCTTTTGCACGGGTGGCAGTTTTGCCTACAAACACACCACCAAGAGCATTGAGTTTTACGCTCTGTACCAGTGCTCGATAGAAAACACCAAACGCAGCGAACAAGGCACCGGTACCGGTGCCCGTGCATAATTTGTTTGCACCGGTGTATGGATCTTCGGCAAGCACCAAAGCCGAGTGTTTCTGACTTCGGGAAACACCGCAGCCGTTTTCGATTTCGGAAAACACGCTTGCTGCTTGTAGGAATTTTCTTTGGGCGACTTCAGAAAGATTATCGTAGCTTATATACACCTTTAGCATCTACTGTCTCGACTAAAGCTGATAGACAAGTGGTCAAAGCAACACTTCCATGATGCCAATGTCCATGGTTCGATTCCAGTCTGTGTCCCTACCAATCTTATTTTATTTTCATGAGGTAAATCTATGAAATTCATTTTGATTTCTTTTGGTTAAAAAGCATAACGCAATATTATAAAGCTTATGAGCTCAAGGTATCAACTACCAGGATTATTAAGAATACACAAATCACCCACTTCGGAAGAGCGTGTTGCTGTTGCCGTCCACCCACTGGTATTTCTTGGCTTTATATTAAATAATTTAGCTGATTGATTTAATTTGATTAGAGTCAATATAATAATCATAACTTATCTCCAACCCAACCAAACAGCTCAACTGATTGAATACTAGTGGAGATATATGAGGTGTTTACATAATATGTAATATATTATATGCTGGTTCACTATTAGATAATAAATAATATATGCTGGTTCACTAGCTCAACCAACTCAACTAACTAGCACGAATTTCAGAGGCTCCTGAAATCTCATGCTGGTAGATGCTGACGTCCTGTTTACATTATGCTGACTATTTATAAGTACAGCTTTAGTTCACTAGCATCAGCATACCAGCACAGATGTAAACACCCAAATAGCGGTGGGTGAACAGAACTACTCACCATTCATGTAGAGTAGAACAGCCCGAAATGCACCCCGGGCCAAACGCCCGTTTTGATTTTTCATAGCTATTCCACTCTTAATTTTGCCGAAATGCTAGGTAAAGTACTAAACTAGCACTGTAACTTGTCCAATTTATGAATTAAAAACGGGAATGCTATGAAAAATCGCATCGAGCGATTTGCGCGAGGTGCATTTTGGGCTGTTTACCCCTAAATAAAAACGCGCTCAAGAAGGATCGCATTCTACCTTCTACTAGCTCCATATCAGCCATGGTAGCTGTTTTGTTGTTGTTGGATAGAAGTTATCATTATTAGATTGACTCAAATCGTGTGAAAACAATCAGCTCAATTAGTTAACATAAAGCCAATAAATACCAGTGGGTGGACGGCAACAGAAACACGCTCTTGCGAAGTGGGTGATTTGCGTATTTTTAATAATCCTTGTAGATGATCCTTTGAGTTCATAATATTCATAAGATTGCGTAATGCTTTTTAGCCAAGAAAGAAATCAAAATGAATTTCATAGATTACATTTTGAAAATAATGTTGACAGAAAAAACTAGACAGTGACATATCGAAATCGATCTATTGACATTGGTATTATCAGACCAGTGTTTCGACCACTTGTCTATCAGCTCTAGACGCGTTTAAAAGCTACCTTTTGTAACAAGATAATCTTTCATAAGTCTCCCAAAGAAAATTCCTGCGAGTAGCAAGCGTGTTTTCCGAAATCGAAAACACTCGACTGCGGTGTTTCCCGAAGTCAGAAACACTCGGCTTTGGTGCTTGCCGAAGATCCATACACCGGTGCAAACAATTATGCACGGGCACCGGTACCAGTGCCTTGTTTGCTGCTTTTGGTGTTTTCTATCGAGCACTGGTACGGAGCGTACAACTCAGTGCTCTTGGTGGTGTGTAAAAAAGGCAGTACGCAGTGTAGTGTTGCGTTTAGACATGCCTGCTTGACACCGGGGGAAGGCCGATTGAAACGATAGAGCCCCTTGTGGGTGTTGATGGTAACGAGCTTCCTGCTTTCCTCGTCGATATCATCTTACAGATAAGCATCCGAAAGATCTAAGTAGTTAAACATCGTGCAATTCGCCATCCGAATCAGTGAGCAAAACAGTCAGGTTCAATGAGTTATTTTCATATGAATATGAACTGGCATCTGCCTTGCCTCGTGAGAGTCTGAATGATTGGGAAGCAAACGAGTCACTGACAGCAGAGCACTCAGTTAGTAGCTCAGTCAGCACGTTTATTTTCCGTGGTGCAGTCGAATGTCCCGAAACTTGTTTACGAAGATTGTTGCAGAAATAGAAGCCGCGAATCCTTACTGCTGCGTGCAAAAGCCTGATGTAGCTAGTAAACTAGGATTAACTGGCCTTTAAAAATGCACCGCCGCAATCCGTCAGCTTGCATATGGCATGCATGAATACATCAGGATGACAGAGACAACAGCGCTGAAATCTCTTGTGGAGTTTTGTAAAACCACTGTTCGTATTTACGGCCCCAAGTACCTACGCTATCCGACACCTGACGATGTGGAGAGGTTTTTGCGTAATCGTGGATTTCCTGGAATGCTAGGATCCTTAGACTACTGCTGTTGCGTTTCTGCCTTCTGATTTGTTCCTGTGATGGAGTCCTGGGACACATCCAACCACGCAAGACAAAGCGCCGTATCTTATTCGGATGTCCAGCTTTCACCTCTTGCATTGGTATTCATCCTCACAAAACGCAATCAAATCCACTGAACCACAAAGTGAAACGTAAACTGAACCACAAAATGTAAACGGAAAAAGTGTGAACCAAAGCAGCAGAATCACAAGCAAACAAAATAGCGTTCCAGAGCAGAGTTTTAGTGAGGCGTCAAATATGAAAACTCATGATTTATTTTTTGTTGCGTTCTCATTCCCCAACCCCGTTTAGCTACTTCCGGTGCGGCATAAGTTGCTCTATGGGGCTCGGAAATAGAGATATGGATCCGCCTGCTCTAAGCAAGCAATAATTTTACGCTCTGATCCGATTGAATATGTCTGTTTGTTTGATTCGAGCGCATTGTTTAATCCGGTGGAGAAGTCCGAACAAATGCGCACGGAGCGATCCGGCTTGCGGGCAACTACGATGGGAGCTGCCCAATCTGCATACGTCACTGATGTGATGATACCCAAATCCTCAAGCCGCTTCAGCTCGTCTTCAACTACGGCCTCCATGTTGTACGAAACTGGCCGCTTGGGCTTGAATACTGGCTGAGGTCAGACTTGAAAATCGGGTAAATTGGTCTTCAATTCGACTACCTGCTGATCTGGTTGTTAGCTACCGACAAGCTTGCAGAATGATGTAAATGGTACGTACCAGAGCCCAAACTCATCCATTAGATCTGAGCCTAGAACATTCAGGGAAAGGTCAGCACAACAAACGTAGCAATTACCTTCCTTATGAGCTCCGCCGATAGTTCACGTTGCTCAGAACATGGCCTCGATGTTTAGTCTGTCTCCGGAATCTGTTTGCACGTAACAGTCCGGTGGAGTTCTGCCTGGATATAATGGTTATGTCCGAACCCGAGGCCAGCTGCATTTAAACTGGAACTCCGTTGATCGCCGTCTCCACATAGCGCCGGCTGAGCATCACGTTCTTTACAGTTACAATCCATGGTAGCTTTTGTTTTCCTACTTCCCCTTGAACGATTTAGAACTCGGCTTGGATGCGAAACAGGAACAGTAGCCCTCCTTATGGCCGGTGAGTCTTGAAACTGCATTGGCTAGAGAAGTGCATGTGTCTGATTTGCTACCGCCAAACTTCTTCTTGTGACGGTTGTCGTGGGGAAACTTGCTCGAACGGCTTGCGATGCAACAGTGCAGGCAAACTGATTGCCGATAAGCTGTCTTTCTTCAAATTAATCATCCTTTTAAATTACATTCAACCATTGGTCCACCTTTAAATTTCATTCGGCTTATTATAATCCATTCGTCCTCTTCGACTCTTTGTCGTAGATTCTGTGGGGAGTGCACCAAGAAGTGCAACGTGATATCTTTCTGAAAATCGTGAAAAAGTATTGATTGCAGGTCTGCCAGGGATAAGGAAATCTTAGTGAGGGAAGTTGCAAGGACCCTAGCTATTGACATTGTAATGCTATTTCATGTTTCATTAATCATTAAACTTTTTTTTTTGTTTTATTAAGTAATCTGTTTTTAAAATAACTGCCAAAAAAAAAGTACGATTACACCCACTTGTGCTTTGAGACTGCTTCAGTTCATCTTCCAAAATTCGAGAATGCATCCCAAACAAACTACTCAACCGAACAAGGTGAAATCGTTTTGCAGATTTTCGAAGGACTCTCCCACTCCGGTCACTTTTACCACACTGCGATCGCATCCTCCCCGAGCCAACCGAAACACCCCATCATCAGTCTAGAGATACTTCTCCAAACCCATATATGTCCAGCTGCCCGTTTGCCGTTTTTTTTTTCCGTCGGCTCCTCTCAAAAGCGCTAATCCACACCGGTTGGACCCACACCCACACTCTGTTGTATCTTGTACCCCACAGGAGCAGCAGCAGGAGGTTCAGCGGCAACTTCAGCCACCGCCGCCGGGCCTATTGCCGTCGCCGCCAAAAGGGGTGTCGTTGCTGGCCTACGGGGCAGACGTGATCACGCGATTCGTACCTACAGTCGGGGGTAGTTAGCGGCGACGGATCGTCACCATTGCCAACGCCATCACCACCGCCAGTACCGAAAATCGAAGGAACTTCGTGAGTCACGCAAGACCTGTCATCTGAGGTGCGGCACTGCTGAGCGGCGATCTTCCGACTCGGTCCCGGTTAAGATGGAGCGACGAAACTACTATTGCTTCCGCGGGAAGAAGACCACCAGGTACATGATGTAAGTGTGTATGTATTAGCGATCTTTTTTTTAATTAATTAAAACTCGTGCGCGTATAGGACTACGTTTTTACGTTTTAATCATTAGCAAAATACGCAGAGATTATAACCAAAATGCACACACACGCACTAGCGAAACGTTGTTGGCTAGTGCCAGTTGCTCTGGTATTCGCAATGTTTTTCTTTTCGTTGAGAACTTCCAATCCTCAGCAGAACCGGCAGCAGCGGCATAAATGGAAACAGTTTTGTACATAACCGATATCACCTTAATTTTCATTTTAATCGTTTTCTGTTGCTTTGAATACCCATGACCCATTTCATACTTAAATATGATGTTTGAGTTCTGTTAGAAACATAATTTTAAATTACGGAAAAGTTTGATTTCGGTAACAGTTCCATACGTCAAATTTTGCTTACCACAGTGTTTGGCCCTCCCAAAGATTGTGTATGTTTTTTTTTTAACCGAAATGGTTCCATTTGGAGAACAATTAAGGACAAAAACGAGTTGCGGCATCTTTGTAAGATAAAGTCTGTACTGTTCAATAATATTCCAATATATACCTATATAAATAGAATTTATCAAATTCGTGTATTTGTAGTGAATCATAAACAAATGAAAGAAAGCTAATTTTCCCTCGGGGATCTGCTAGGAATATGAAGCAATTTTAATTCAAACTCTACATTTGTATGAACATAGAATTCTTGAAAGAAAGATCACACTATTCCCTAATAGAAAAATGGGAGAACTTAAGGGTAATTGTTGACCTCTCATATTTCAGCTTGAATGCAATTGAATGAACCCAGTTAGTAATCGAAATAGCTCTTTATATAGGAACAAAGTAAACCTACCGTACGAAGTCAATCATGACCCAAATTGTTAATAATAATAAATAAAATTTGAATCTCCTGTGTAAAAAAAACAACCTCCCTGTTATCATTCACGTTTCGTAGAAAATCAAAACTGGTGTAAGTTTCTGAAGAAAAACAAAAATCCATCTGTAGTAAAAACCATTAATTTTCGTGTTTGAAAATGTTCATCCTCTGACGAATTATGTTGTTGATTGAACCGAAACCCCTTACCGATTCTTCCCTGTTGACTGTGAACCAAGGCAGTTTTTTTTACTTGTATATTAAGAGCCGACGATCTTCATGATGGAAAACAGTAAATACATGTAAAAACTAATACTAAGAACTCGTGCAACTTATTATTCAATGAGCGAATCAGTGCGCAAACAGAAGCATCCTAAGTAGATGTATTAAACTGAAAAGAAAGTATAATTATGTAACTAAAAAAACAAAACAAAAATGCGGAACCCTATGCATTATATACCGTTAAAATCTACTCTGAGATGGAACGAGTAATACACAAAATAGCAAAAGCAAGAACATTTAGTACTACTATATGCAAGTTGGAACGCGCATAAAGGCGGGAAATTAATGAAGAAAAAAAAAGCCTGTATTATAGTTAAGTCTGTTGTAGGAATGTAAGAATAAATAAAGCGAGTTGTTAAATGAAGCAACTTCGAGCAGTGAGTATCGATCAAATACAACCAACACTACTATGACTAATGTGGTAAAACAACTGAAAGTAAATAAATCATTATAATAATCTAAAATAAAAAAAAAAACAAGCAAATGGAACGTTTTCATTATCCTAGAATTGAAAGAATGTTGGTTCCGCGGAAGAACACGACAATACAGAGTTTTGTTGTTGGTAAAACGACTTTTGGTCACTGGGTTAATTTGGTATTACTTCTGTAGTACCAAAATAGACCTGGACTCGACTTACATACAGGGTGACCAAATGTCTATATTAATCGAATGCCAGTCTGGAATTCTTATCATTTTCACAGTACGAAATACCAACAATTTGGTCAGAGCGATGTCCCATAGTATTGAACATTTATTGATTTCAAGATCGTGACATTTCCTAAATGATTCCAATGATAATCCTAAACAATTTATAAGTCTACCTTATTACGTTGTTTTTCCTTTTAATTCTGCTACTATTGTATAGCTTAAAAAAACTTTGGGAATCTACTTCTCTGACGTTTCCACCCTTCAGAAAACCGACAAATACGAGTCGAGTTATACCACACACTTCCAACCATTCTCATGAACATAAAGCAGCTGCTTTTCAGCACATGATCCATGGACTAGAGACTTTGCCACTTACATTGTACCAAACCACCGTCCTCTGTTGGAATGAAACCTCAGACAATTCAAATCTTTTTCTTTTTCTTCATTCCTTTATTTAACGTCGACGTCGGTCTCTGTTCCGCAATCTATTGCCAATCACCGACGGACATCGATTGCCATCCATTAACGCCAATCGAATGTGCAGGAAGGCAGCTTCCACACCTGCGTAGGATATCGCACCCATTCAACACACATGGGCCGGGACCAACGACTTTACTTCCCTTCCGAAGACGTGACCAGAGATTTTTATGCCCCGACCTCGGCTGGGATTGAACCCATACCCAAACCCATTGGGGTTTGAGAAAGCAGTCACGCTTACCCACTACCCCACCGGCGCCGGTCAACCCTAATAAATTTGAAATGGTTATTTTGCTTAACAACGTGTTTGGGGTATCATCCAAACCATTTGTGGAAAAGTTCAACTATTTGGGTTATTGTTCGTTTATGGTATTTGTTTATTAGGGAATTCAAATCTAAACATCGAAATCGCCTTTTTGAATGATAGCTGCAGGAAGCATAGCCATCGCTATCAGAGGTGGTACGAACATTGCGAAATAAAGGAAACCGTAAGTTGTCTATTTTGACATTCGTTGCTAGACCGTCTAGCAAGGGTATTCTGTAAATTAGCGCTAAACGCAATCATCAAATTAGAATAAGAAGAAGAAGATGAAGAGCCAAAGGCTAATCAATTGAAATGTTAAACCAAATGTTGAAACATAAAAAAAAAAAAAAAACAGAAAATAAACGTTAATTTTGCTACTAGACCGTCTAGCAGTAAAGTTCGTTCGTATGTTCGCTTCGCTATCGAAATTTTTTTTCTAGTTAGTTTCATTGGGCCTTATTACGGGTGTCACTACACGGTGATAATGAAGTGATACTCAGAATAAGAGCCGTGATTACCGTACACATCAAATGGGAATCACTTCACCGTGACGACAAGTGACATGTTTTCACCGTGAATTACGGATGTCATAATAAGCCCCATTGCTACGTTCGCGTCGTGGAAGTGCGTCATCGACAGGCGCATTGGCAAGTCTAATTGCACTTGCCACCAAACAAAGCATGGTACGCAAGCGTACTACCAACAATCAATACGAAACAAACGATTTTAAATTGGCTCACTACTTGACTAGCCTATTGGTCCCAAGCAAATCGATTAACGTACCCCATTCTAGTCGAAATTCTAGCACTACACTATGTTTGTTTTGATTCGCTATGAAAGTTTGGCAGATAAAATGAGGGGTTCGTGGATTTTCCTTTATTCGAGGGGACCGAAGAGAGTACCAGAGCTGTGCCAAAAAGTTGAGCACGTTTCTTCGGGACCTTCTAGTCTTAAAGTTACCTCTATGGTACTACTGCTCCTGTATCGGAGGGTCCTAGTAAGAAGGCCCAAACGGATGCCAGCACTGCTTCATGGTCCACCACCCTTGCTGCGCTGAAGAGCAACATACGTGACCTGATTCAGGTTATTATCGACTGGGAATACTACAAACCGCAACACCGTGATTTGACCCAATGCACAAGCTGCCTCTCCTTCGGCCATGACACGAAGAACTGTCGTATGAAACCACGCTGCGACAAGTGTGCTATGGCCCTTTCGACAGCGACCTGTGTTCAAGCTGATGACACCGAGCCAAAGTGCGTGAATTGCGGCGGTACTCACCGTGCCACTACTCGGGACTGCCCCAAGCGAACGGAATTCATCAACATCAGGAAGAAGGTGGCAACTAGCAACCAGCCAGGCCGACATCGAAACAAACATACACCACCAGCTATCACGGATGAACAATACCGGGCAATCCAGCCTCGCCGCCTGGTCCCAAATCTCGCACCGCTATCCACCAACAATCAACGAGCCGCTCCCTCAGCTCAGCATCGCCTCACTGCCGTAGCGGCCCTGCCAAATCATGTTTCTACCTCGGCGCCTGGACTATCGTATTCCCGTGTTGGCTCAGTTGACGAATCTCCTTTCACATCGGAAGAACTAGTAACGCTGGTTGCAGAGGTGATCGTCATTCTACGAACCTGCAAAACAGCTGGAACAGCTTCATGCTGCCTTTTCACTCGTCACCAAGAATGGACCGTGAAGCTATAATAATTGCACATTAGAACGCTTGCTCACTGACAAACAAGCATAGAGAGCTACTCGATTTCCTCAACACCAAGAAAATCGACATTGCTGTTATTAGCAAGACGCACTCGTCAGACTTGAGCGCCCCTGCTCCGGGGTCACCTGCTCTGGGGGTGGGGGAGTGGTCATCACTGCAAGACGGAACATCAGTTACCGACTACTACTAAGCTTCCAGCTGAAAACAATTGAAGTCATCGAAGTTGAGGTAAGCCATCATCGTGGTCTACTGCCCCAAGCAAACCAACACCAGGGACGGGTCGTCAGCGGCCCTCCGGAAAGACATCATCAAACTCACCCGGAGGAGCGGGAGCTTTATCATCGCTGGCGACCTAAACGCAAAACACCAAGCTTGGGGCAATGGTCGGAGCAATCGAAACGGCACCATCCTGAATGAAGACCTGCAATAGAGCCACTATCCCATCTTGGCCCCGGACACTCCCACCCGGTCGAGTCGGTCTGGGGTCCATGCCACCATCGGCATCTTCGTAAGCAACAACTTTCCTACGAAATCCGAGATTACGGCTGACGAACTGCTGGCCTATACCAAATCATCTAAAAATATGAAGGCCCCAGGTTTCGACCAAATCCTGAATCTGGAACTCAAACTCCTGAGTTCCAGATTCTTCAACCATCTGGCACTGATTTTTAATCAGTGTCTAAGGCTTGGTTACTTCCCGTCGTGCTGGAAGTCAGCTAAAGTCATCACCATTCGGAAACCTGGGAATGTTACCTACTTCAAGCTATCGACTCATCAGCCTTCTCTCAGGGTTATCCAAGCTGTTCGAAAGAGCAGTCTACCATCGACTCCTGGCATATGCCGAGGAAAACAACATATTGCTCGAGGAGCAGTTTGGCTTCCGTAAAGCTGGGTTTAAACAGGGCAAGTCAATTGATCAACTCAGTTGAATTCAACTGACTTGAACACGAATTGAACGTGTAAACCATGCCATTCAACTGACTTGATCAACTCACTTGAATTGAAAAAAGTTGAACCAGGCTCAACTTTTCAAGCCAATTGAATTCAACTGAGTTGATCATTTGACTTGCCTAGTCTAAACCCAGCATAAAGGTCGCTCGACTGTTCACCAGCTCACTCGAGTAACAAACATTCTCAGACGGAACAAGTCTGTATCTAAAACATCTGCCATGGCATTGTTGGACATTAAAAAAGCATTCGACAATGTTTGGCATGATGGCCTGGTCTACAAATTGCAGCAATAATGTCACTCATGTGCAGGGATGGAACATCATTTACATTCATTTCGTGCATTCATTTACATTCATTTGTCTCTAACTTTTTTCATCAACAGAATTCCGTAAAATAGTGTCTGAAGCTTTCATAGGCTTTTATATTAGCTACATCTTTTGTAAACATTTCAAATCTGTATCTCTTATGCATGATGAATCAGAACGATAAGAACCTACCATTGTTTTTCAGTGAATGTAAATTGCATTCACTGAAAAACAATAACATGTTCTGCCAGCTCTATCTCATCATGCATATTGCGCATTTTGCACCAAATTAGACTACTGTGCAAAAAATAATTGCACAGAAATATTTTCGCACATGCCAGAAAATTCAAAAATCGACTTATTTGACAGCAGAAACAGCTTTAGAACATTACTAGCAAGCTACACTGTTGAATTAAAGCTCTAGAAAGCATTAAGAAGCTCCATATTTAACTTTTATGACCAGTGCGAAAATATTACTGTGTACTTATTTTTAGCGCAGGAGTCTAATTAGGTGTGAAATCCGCAATAAGAGATTCAGATTTTAGTTATTAACAAAAGTTAATATTAAAAGCTACAAAAGCTTCATACATCATTTATCGGTATTCTGTTGGTAAAAAAAGTTAGAGGCAAATTAATGTAAATGATTTTCCATCCCTGCTCATGTGTGATATTCACTCATATTTAAGTGAACGTGACTCAAATACGGGTTAAAGTCATTTGCCGTGTATCAATTGACACTATACGGCCACTGAGAATAACTCAGAAAGAGATAGAAAGAGTCACTATTCTACTCAGAGGTATTGATAAATTTCTAAAAACTGCAGGAACCTGCAGTTTTTTTTTTAATATCTCATGCAACTGAGTAGAAGTAACTCTCTCTCTCTCTCTGAGTTATTGGCAGTGACCATGCTCATATTCGAAAAATGTTTCATGGAAAAGCCCGGAAAATTCAACTCACAGTCGACTAGACTCAATTTGGAGTTGATCTGACCGATCGTGTGTTGACTGCTTGACTGAGAGCTTTTGTTGCTCAAATTGTATTCTGTTTCTCTCATCCCTCTCGTATGGCGAGAGCCGAGCTGAGACGAGAGCGTGAGTGATTCTCTTATCTCCGATTGCACTCTTGACAAACAGCTGTTTTGTTTGTGAAAGTTTGACGACGCCGGTCAGTTTTGTCAATATTTAGTGGCCATTAAAATCCGGATGCTTATTTCAAGGATTTCGAGTACCAGTATTAACATTTTTCGGAAACTACACATCTCAGGATTAACATATCAGGTGGGTGACAATCTTAAGATGCTATTTATTTATTTTTAACACAATTACGCATCCGATCATTAGAGAAAATAAAATCGATTGAATAACGCCGTTCGGTTCCTCTTTTGAGTAGAGGAAAGTGCCTTACAAGATAAATGTAAATAATAGGTTAAATGCATAACAATCAACGCCGGATGTATCTTTTGTTAAGCAACAAAAGAGATCGGTTTCACGCCCAGCCGTTCCGACAGCTGGGTGCAAGTCTTGATCTGGTTCTCGTGGTAGGCTAATCCTCCTTCCTGGTCTACTTTCGACATGTGATTACGCTCTGGATCACCGGGTGCCAGAACCGGCTTCGATTCATCAGTCTGTAATTGGATTGTAATTAGTTATCTACTTCTATCCTTCGTAAAAAAATACCCTCCATACCCTTGGCATATTTCTCAGAATACTGTTCAAATCGGACAACCTTCCCTCGAACCCGGGAGCGAAACAGGCCGGGTTGATGGCGACAAAGCACTGACCAAGATCGGCTTCCGTATCGGCTCCGGCGTGGGTCCACTTGCGAACCTTGGTAGAGTAGTTCGAACCCGCCATGATACCGCAGAATACTTCCACCATTGCGGCCAAGCCGTATCCCTTGTAACCGGAAGTGAGCTCGGTACCGCCGAGAGGCATTAGGCAACCGGTGTCGAATGCCAAATTGGCATCCGTTGTGGGATGACCCGTTGGATCCTGAGCCCACCCGAGGGGAATCGGTTCACCCTTGCGCCGTTGAATTTCGATCTGTCGGAAGAATGGGTGGCATGAGATTTATAGTTTGCTTATGCTCACACGGCTAAACTCTTACTTTTCCAACTGCCACTGCCGTGGTGGCCATATCGAGCACAAAGCCATCGCCATTTTCAGCTGGAGCACCAACCGAAATGGGGTTCGTTCCAAGGGCGGCTTCCTTACTCCTGGTCGGACTGGCCAGTGGAGATGTGTTGGTCATTGACATACCGATGCAACCAGATTTCATGGCCCGAAGGGTGTACCATCCGGCGATGCCATAATGGTTGGAACCTGAAAGGAATGAGATTATTAATTTTCCAATACATATATTGAACCCCACCCAACAACTCACGTTTCGCACAAACCCACCCGACACCAACTTCCTTGGCTTTCTTGATCGCCAAATCCATGCAGAAATTTCCAACGACTGCGCCGAGACCGTTGTTGCCATCGACCCATGCCGCGGCTGGCGTTTCGTTCAAAATCGTCGGCTCGGCTGCTCCACTGCATGCGTTCTTGTGCAGATCGTTGATGTACATCTCCAGGCGATTCATGCCATGGCTAAAGTGCCCCCGGTAGTCGGCCTCCACCAGCAGATCGGCCATCTGCTTTGCGTGTGACTCGGGCGTTTTGGACTTGAGAAAACAGTCCACCATGAAGCGGCGCGATTCCTCGACACCAACCAGGCGGGGTTTTACTACGGCGGTCATGATGGTTCTTCTAAGATGGTTGCGTGCAGCTGTTGCCTGCGGAGATCTATTAAATGAGACTGATGGAAAGGAATTGTTACTTTATTTCGGAAACGGTCAGTGTTATTCCACTGCATACTGTGTCTATAATCAGGTGAGCAAACACAAATTCGGGTTAGTGATAGCAAGAAAGTGTCATTGATAAGGGCTATCGGGAGCGTTGTTTGAGTTGCATAATTGTTTTTTTTTTGGATATGGTGTGTTTGTGTCTGGCAATTTGGCTTAGAAATATCATTTAATTACTAGTTTAATGCTATTTTCTACTGATAAATTGGTATTGGGTTGATTGAGTGTATCGGTTGAATCACGATTAAAAATTCATCCAAAAATGCGGATTTGAATATTTTGCTTGAATATTTGATGAGTCTATTGAGCCCTATGCTGCGCCGCGAGTGATGTGAGGTGACAATCAGGGTTGCTTCCACTCACTTGCTATAAAAAGATGATTTTCTGAATTTTGAAGTCATTACTTGTTATAATGATATTTTGGCCTTGTTAGATACAGGAAGAGGTTGAAAGGCAAGTGTTTGACACATACTACCTTTTCGATTCCAGAGTGTTACAATCGGCGATTTTATGATTCGTGAGCGTTCACTCAGAGTGAGCGTTCGCGAGTCGTAAAATCGCTGATTGTGACTATCTGAAAGCGAATTTGACAGCTTTTATGTGTCAAATACTTGCCTTTCAGCCTCTTCTTGTGTCTGACAATGACAAAATATCATTATAACATCTAATGATTTCAAAATTCAGAAAATATATTTTTTTTATAGCAAGTGAGTGGAAGCAAGCCTGGTGACAATCCCCTTTATTCTGCGAGTCACGTGACTCTCTGTCACCGGTGAGGGGGGAATAGTCATCGCGAGTGAGGTGACTCTCCATTTGATTTGCGCGGAGAGTTTTGTCACCTCACTAGTGACAGCGAGTCACCTCACCTCACTCGCTGCGCAGAATAAGGGGGAGTATCCCAAACTCAATTCCCCCTATTCTGCGAGTCACGTGACCCTCTAACAGAGAGTAACAGGTAACAGAGAGTGACATGACTCGCAGAATATTACCCGTACAGACTATGGCTTATATCATGTAATATAGGCTGTCTTGCAATGAGCACTCATACATCTAGTTTTCACTGGAAATTCTATGTATGAGTGCTCATTGCAAGACAGCATATATTACATGATATAATCCATAGTCTGTACGAGGTATAAGGGGGAATATAACCGTCAAAAGTTCTAAACATGAAACAGGAAGTTTTGACGGTTCCCTTGCAAATTTTTAGAGATTAGAGTTATTGATTTAAATTATCCAAGAATTTTAGAACGAAGAACAAGTGGGCTGATTTCAGTGATAATTGCTCTCCTTCGTTGATCGCAGAACTGAGGAGAAACTATCAGATTAACAGATAGACTAAAAGTGCTTAAATCAGGGTTTATTAGCCTGAAAAACCCTAGAAAACCGGGAATCCTCTTGGATTTTTCCTGAAAAAAAAAACTGGAATTCTCATTGAATTTCATCATTTCAAATTCTTTTTCCAATCAAATAAAACAAACGTTTTGAAGTTCGTCAAACAATCATCTTGCAACAGTTTCAGTGCTTTGACGAATGCATTTGTTGAGAATTTCTAAGGGATAATATCAAGGGAATTCGGAGGAGAATTCCAAGGGAGTTCTGGAAAGAATTGTGAAGAAATCTTCAAATCAAATTTAAGGATTATTGTCAAGGTAGTTCTGAGGAACTTCAGATTCCAGACCTAAGGAGAATTCCAATATAAGTCTAACCAGAATAGGGAGCTGCAAGGGGACGTCACGAATAAATGCGATGAACTCCCGTTAATCGGTGCCAGCAGTGGTTTGTTATCCTTTATCTGTTAGTTCAAGTGGATTCAAGTTTTATAATTTTAATAACTATTAGATTTGTTATTTGACGATGCTGTTTTCAAAAATTTTCCTTTCTAAAAAATGTTAAACATATTTTCAACATTTTTCTAAATTATATTTTAAGTTCATGTAAACAAACGATTGCCAGATGTCAACAAAAGTGAGGTTAATTCGACGCTACAGCTCATTATTATGATTTTGCAGCTTGAGACAATTCTGCACACTTTGTTTCGAAATGGAGGCCTTTCCAATAAAGGTGTCAATCGCCCCTATTATGTATTCCATTCGAAACGAATTTCGCATACATAAAAATGGATCAATGAAAATGCTGAGGTTTTGACAGAACTATGCTGTGGCTGCCACAGTATTTTGCATTTGATCGTCCAAAAGCATGCTGTGGTGATTTCAAAACTTGATCATCTAAATTGATCAATTGTTTTTGGATGGGGAATCCGTTTTGAACGGAATAGAGAATAGTGGTGAATACACGCTCAATTTTGTTTGCCGAATGTCGGTCATTTTGCCGAGATTTGCACAGCCGAGCTCCCGACAAACATATTGTGCCGAGATCTCAGCAAAAGCGACATTTGGTTGTTGAGTCTCGGAAAATTTTTTCCTGAGATCTTAGTAAAATTTTATGCCGAGCACTCGAAAACTAATACCCCGTTCACATTACAGCCTATATCACTTAATATAGGCTGTCTTGCAATGAGCACTCATACATAGGATTTCCAGTGAAAACTAGATGTATGAGTGCTCAGTGCAAGACAGCGTATATCACGTGATATACGCTGTAATGTGAACGGAGTATAAGTGTGATGAAAACAACGCTGGTGTGCATGTTATCATTCAAAGGGTGTTATATCTCGAGACCCTGACTATCTGGGAAGTGGTTTTCTTAGGAAAAGTTGTTCAGATAACCAAAACCTTTCGTATGATAAACAAATTAGTTCTTCAGTATTCTGTCATTATGCAGCGCTAGTGTACATGTGAAATTTCAAAGTGTGCTACAGCTCGTGATCCTCCCTAATTCAATTTTGTTTTGCTTAACCACGTGATCCGGTTATCATCCAAACAATTTGTGGAATACTTCTATCATTTGGGTTATCGTTCGAGGCGAGAATTATGTAGAAGACATATTATTTTGAGGGAACTTGGTTTCTCCATTTCCTTCATATTGTGTTCACTTGACTTCACCATCGGTTATACGATATCGTCATTCGGATGAAATATATACCTATACCTACAGAAAAAAATTGTCAGACTTCAGATATTAACGTCACATGGTTGTGGCCTCTGACGATAGTCACATGTGTATAACATTAATCCTATCAAAACATTATACCTTGCAGTGGCTATTCCGACCGAAGATGACTTTGGTTTCGTTTTCGTTAGACTGTATTTATGATCGTATGCTATAAACATAAAATCTCACAAAAAGATACCGTCCCATCAACAACGAATATAAGGCTATTAAAAAGACAATTTCCTTCGCATGTTCGTGCAATACTACCACCTACCTATTCTTATTATAAAATCTGAACACATCTAAACCGACGGAGCCAAATAATCAACAGTTGTTTCTTTATTTATACTCTATGTTATCACTCAGTGTGAAGAAGATTACGAATGGAGGCGATAATACAAATAGCAGGTCCAAAATGTAGAGTCGTGCCCACTAGGGTGGGTCAAGTTTGAGAGGTGGATTGCAACCAACTGCTCCTCCCCCCACTCGTTGACACTATTGAAGTGACTATTGTCACGTCTGGTGAGGGTACTATCCATTTGATTTGCACGGAGACTCACCTCAGTCGAGCTGACAATTTGTCACTTCACCATAACTGTACTGTCAGCTCACCTCGCGCCGCGCAGAATAGGCCTAATTGAGAAACCCCAACAACTGTGCCAAATTTCAACGAATTTGGTTACGATCTGGATGTGCGGAAGAACTTTAAAATTTGTATGGTAGAATGTATGGGAAACGGAACGAAAATATTAATTTGCTTGTCAAAAATTTACAAGTTGCTTCTCTCATCATGACCAACGTAGTCATCTCAGAGAGAAAGCAGTACACGGTAATCACAACAAACTCTCTTATGACTATAAAGTACGCTCTTTCTTTGGAAAATGGGACTACCCAATAAAGGAGTATACTGTTTTTACTCTATTTTGCGTAAATTGAATGTACGTCAGAATCTGCATACTTTTTACACCACATAGTAAACTTAAAAATGCGTAGTTTTGACACCCGAACAAAGTATAAATGCGTAATTTATACTCCCACATGCATAGTTAAATGCATAGTTTTTACATTGAAAAAAAAATATACCTACGATAAAACAAATTTTGTATTTCAAGTTCGTTTCAAATATTGAATGAAAATGCATAAGAATTTTAACAGTAATATTTATTTATTTATTTATTTAATTAAATGGAATAAATCCTTTCTAGATTTTATTCGAATCAATCGTCAAAACACTTACACCAATCCATCGAATCAGCGGTGCTGCCAACTCCTCCTCGACTCCCAATGGCATCACATTTGGCGGTTTTTTAACGCCTTTTCTGGACAGTTGTCCCATGATTCGGAGGCATCCGCGGACATGATCTACATTTAGATGAAAATTTAATTTAACACGTAATGAATACTCGATGTCCTTTTTTATTCGGTTAAAAAATTTTATTTGGTTAACAATAAAAGTAAATGTTTTAATTACCTGCCAGTGTCGTGAATACGTCCTGTTCCAAAGTGGACAATTCCTCCATTTTCCGCTGACCCACCGCAGAAATAATCCGGGACCGGGAACTGAATTAAAACGCTGCTTTTCCAATGAACGCTTCTTTTCTCAGCGGGGACTACTTCTTACACATTTTTGTTCGTCGTTGACATACTCGGAAATGCATAAAAAGTACTCTTCATTTATAACTAAAATCTAAACATTTTTTGACGTATAAACCGTATTCTCGAAAATGTGTAAAACATAGTCATAAATGGAGTATTCTAGAATTACCGTGTAGGGTAGTTGTTGCGTGGTGTACCATCATCAGCATTGTTGACGGTTACTCCTGGGCTTTAGGTAGTGATGAAACGTCAAACGCGCACTTTTCTGCTTATAGATATTTCAAGTCTCCGCATCCATTCATGT